ACTTCCAAGTGTGGGGGGGGGGGCAGCTGTAGTGGCCTCTAACCCACTGCTCCACTTCACTGCACCCAGAAGCCTGGGGGGTCCGGAACAGTCTGAGATTTGGGCAGACTGTGCTGGGCACTCACCACAGGCTGAGGTGCCTCAGGAAGCTGCGATGCCTCCCTGCTTGCAGAAGTATTCAGTCCTTCAGACAAAGGAACGGGCTTCTGCAGGGACTCCGGATCCGCCCAGCTCCTCCTCTGCAGGAGATGGCCGCAGGCTATATTTTTTGAAGACCTTTCCAAAATAAACAAAATAGTGCTTCCAGGAGCTTTTCCTGATATTAAGTTTAAATTGGCATTCCATTCATTGTTATATTTAATTATAGTCCTCTATTTTCAGTAACAGCTTCTTTTCAAAGCTAAGGGAAGGAACTCTTGAATATTGGGTCACTTACTGTGATAATATATTAATTCAAACCTAACAATACTGAAAAGAGATGGCATTCTTCAAGAAGGATACAGGGAAGTTGATTGAACTAATAATATCTCCACTTACGAAAATAATATACAGGGGAATGCTCAAATGAATAACTGCCCTTTATTCACTCAAATAGAATTTAATTTTAAGTCCACCCCTTCTGCCAGCTCATTTAATTTAAAATCCATGAGGTCAATAATTTTAATTGAAATGGTAATTTCATCCTGAAAATAGAGACTTACAAGACTGACATTACAGGCTTTTAAAAAGTTCCAACAACTTAATACTTCCATTGTTCAGATTATTTTTATTTCTAATATGAATTTTTAATCTACTATGATATGTTTTAAAATAGACACTAAAAGGCAAACTTTTGTTTTCATAAGGCAGTCTATGACATTGTGGAAGGCAAAATTCTAACATGGTTCAGGATTCCCACTTGTTGGAGAAAGATATAGATATGGATATCGATTTCTAATTCCTATATAATCCCTTTCCTTTAAATATGGGCAGAACCTGTGTTTATTCTTGACTGTCATGTTTATGATTATATTACATGAGCAAAGGGGTCTTTCAAACAGAAAGAAAAGTAGAAACCAAGAGGTAGAGAAAAAGGTAAAAAAGACTTAGAAATGACTTCAGTGTAAGAGAAAACAGAAATAATCTTGGATTTCCATCCTGGAGATTACAGAAATGGCAATACTACCAACTGGCTCTTTATAGAAAGGTTTTCCCATTCCTGCTACAAAGCACCACATCCCCATAGTTTCCAGTACATATCACGTTAAGAAATATTGATGAATATTACCATTAAAACTTATTTTTAAAAGTCTTTAATAAATAACTTGAAAAAGTATTACTGAAGGTCATTATTGGGCCATGGATATAGCTCAGTGACTCAGCACCTGCCTGGCAAGTGCAAAGTCCTGAGTTAGATTCCTGGTGCCAAAAACAAAAGTCGTTATTGTCCCACATTTTGAGTGTTCTAGAATTCATGACCTTTATTCTTCCTCCACTTTATAGTACAGTCAATTTACATAAAAGTGATAAAGGGGGACAGAAATATGTTCTAGACAAAACTTCACCCAAGCATATAATTCATAGTCCTTAAGTACTATAAAAGGGCTGGGGATTTAGCTCATTGGCTTATGTGCCTGCCTGGCAAGCATGAGGCCGTAAGTTCGACCCCCAGTACCAAAAAAAGTTAGCACTGAAGTACATATAAAAGAGTCAAGCAGATAAACCTAAAACAAATACTTTCTGTAGAGAAGAATACTGGGGTTGTTGTTGTTGTTGTTGTTGTTGTTGTTGTTGTTGTTTTGGGGAGGGGAATACCAGGGGTCAAACTCACAACCTTGTGCTTGCCCAGGCAGGTACTTATGCCACTGAACTAAATCCCTGGCCTGAGAAGAATGCTGGTAACCCCCCTATATTCTTCCATGCTTCCTTTGAATAAGAGGTGTCCTCACCATCATCCAAAGTCTGCTACAGACAGAGCCACCCAACTGTAGATACATTTTTCATCCTTTCTAGTGTTCTTACTAATGAGATATGAGCAAAAGTGTTATATGCCTTGTTTACAGAGGACACCTGGCTGGGCACAGTGGGCACTGGGCTCCTATAATCCTAGCTACTTTGAAGACTGAGGCAGGAGGATCACAAGTTTGAGACTAGCATGGACTATTCAGCAAGAGGGAGACACTGTCTCAAAATAATAAAAAGGAGGACCAGAGACTTAGCTCAGTGTCTTAAGTGTCTGCCTGGCAAACCTGAGATCACAAATTCAATCCCTGATACAAATAATAATAATAATAATAGTAATGGGATAGGAAGATACCTCTGTGGTAAAGTGCCCCTGGTACCTCATACAGACAAAAAAAGCAAAATAAAGCATAAACAAAAACAAAACCTGTACTTTCTGCTTCCCGAGGGTATAATGAAGTCGGGGAGGTGAGCCACCTTCCACCATGAGGACAAAGACAGGATGGTGGGAGATGCCACGGTAACAAAAGAGAGGAAACATAAGTCTTCCTTGGGGAAGAAAGCTTGACTGTCTATTTTGGACTGTTATGTGACAAAGATCTAAATTTTTTTGTCCATATACTTACTCTTTATTGAGTTTGTTAGTGTTACAGAGTTCTTGAATTGCCAAACCAAGCCTGAGAATCCAAAGAAAGAAATGGTACAATGGACTGTCTCATCGATCTGTCGTATAATTTGTTAAAACTTGATTCATGTGCATTTTTGTAATTTCACAGTCTTTTAAAAAGTTATACAAACTGAAATTTGAATCTGCTTCAGGTCTTCAGATTTCCTGAATAGTATGGGCTTAAGTAAAACCACATCATATTACTCCCACTTCATCTCGCAATAATATAATCCCTAACAAAATTATAGGAAAGATGAACACTTTTCAATGAAAATATGTGGCCGAAGGTCCAAGAGATCTTGCTTTTGGTTCTCAAATGAAGTCTTCAGTTTAATGAGAATCTTTATTTTTTGCTTACCTGTCCAAAGTTCTCCTGGCTGCTTCAGCTATTCATCCAAACACATCAGAAGGCAGCCACACACCTGCCACCTCAAATAATGTCAACATTATTGCTCAGAAGTGGCTGGCCAGGAGATACAGTGTACAGCGCTCCTAGGAGTCCAATTCCTACATCAACATGTTCTTCAAGACTGAACTCCTGTAGGGAATGCTCCCAGCACCAGGATAGGTTTATTTACCCATTCACTTCACTCTTACCAGTAGCAAGTGTACAACTTCTACTTCCAGCCAAGGGATTTACTATAGAGAAACCCAGACTCTGCTTCAAGTGGTCACATGCCCCTGTTAAATATTTCTACTGAACCAAAGATACAAAACTAGGAAAAACTGCTAGATTATCTCATTAGGTGGAAAAACTTTCAGGAATCCGAGGGGCTTAGATTCCTCAAGTCCCTTTTAAGGACTATATACTACTACTAGCATAAGCTGTAGTTATGAAAAACAGAAGTGCTACATTTGCATCTGTAGCCCTGCCTTTCCAAGTGAAGCTATGAAGACACACCAAAGGTTGATAATATAGCTATCTTGGACAATCACAGCATCTCCAGAGGAACAAATATCTCAAAAATCTGGGCACAAGTATATAAGCAATTCTTATCAAAATCATACAAGATCCATTAAAGTTAAATGGATGCTAGATGAGGTTTTCCTTGAGTTGCTTTGAATCTGTAGGACAGGTCAGTGAAATCCTCATCCTGAGCAGAAACCATACTTTCTCCACAGCAGTTTACTACACAGTTTAGAACTGATTAGAGGAGGCTGTAGCAGCACCTAAAATAGAGCCACCAGCATCAAAAGCTATTTGGTCCCACTTTGTAAATTTCACAAGATATCACAATTCCAATGCATATTTCAGGTTATTTAACCAAGCAATATGCTCTGTCAAAGAACTTACATCAAGTCAAAGCAACAATGGGCTTCAATGAGGAACACAGAAAAAGCACTACCCAAGCAAAGAATCACGAGGGATCTGAATTTCTACTTTCTTTTGGTCATGTATTTTAGAGTATCTTCATTGAAGCACCACATCCTATGTATTGTAAACTCTCCAACATCATTCATGCGAAGGTCACACAATTACAGCCATGTGCTGAATAAAAAGTAAGTTTTTGTCAATGATGATGGTCCAATTAGATTATAATGCAGCTGAAGAATTCCTCTCTCCTCATGACACTGTAACCGTCATAATGTTGTTGCACAATGCATTGCTCATATTGTATGTGGTAATGGGGCCACAGACACCTACAGTGCTGCATGTCACATAAAGTGTAGTGTACACAATTATATCAGTATATAATGATAAATAGCAATGTGACTTATTTAGGTATTTACTATACTTTTAAATATTATTTTAGAGTGTATTCCTACTAACCAATAACAAATTACTATAAAACAATGTGCCATAACACAAGCAACAGCCTCAAACATCTGTTTCATGCATCACTTGACTGCATCACTTTCTCTCATGATGATTTAATCTCATGTGGTTTGTTTGTCATCGTCCTAGGGGTAATAGGTTATGCCCTATAGATAGATAGAAAGATAGATAGATATAGATATAGATATATAGATATACACTCTATACAGACAAGGTATGCAGTAACCTATCCCCTATAGGTTCATGTGAATATACAAATCCCTATCCTTAAGCAACACATGACTATCCATAATAAATTGACTACTGTAATAATTGCCTTTTCAGTGTAATTTTCTGTTGTGGATATAACTGTGCTCTGGGAAATTCTAATGGAGACTTTTAATACATGATGGGTCAGAAAATCTTTGTACCTGTAATAAGCTAGAGGGGCAGCATGTGCCAGTTAAATCTACTCATCACAGAAGTGGAAAGGCAAGAGAATGTAATGTGCTTATGTGAGGTTACAGAGAAGTTAGGTATGAATATTTTAAGACACTGAAGAGTAATAATGGGTTCAAGCTAACAGATCCCAATGTCTTCTTAAAAAAAACAACAACAACAACCCCAAAACCATACTTTTTAGCTGCCAGTGTGTTCAGACGTGATGACTCAATTTCTGTCTCTCTGAACATCAGTCCTAGGGTCTGTATAATTTCAATGCAAGCCCTAGGAAACAAAGACAAAAGAATGGAACCAGCATGATTTCATCAGAAGTTTAGAACTCTGTGAAAGCAGTAATGATAAAATTGCTTTCAGACATTCATTCAAAAAAGCATAGGAATTTCTTTATACCAAATTGTCAACATTGGCTAGGCATGGCGGTGCACACCTGTAATCCTAACACTTGGGAGGCTCAGGCAAGAGGTTCACCATGAGTTTGAGGCCAGCCTAGCCCGAAAAGTGAGTTCAAGGTAGTCTGAACTACATAGTGAGACCCTGTCTCAAAATAAATAAAATAAAATATAAAATAAAAATTTCTGCAACTGTCTGCAACTGTTATGTAATAAGCCATCACATGTGTTGAATGAATGAATTATAGTGCAATAGTGAATGCATGAAAGATAGTGTATGTGTTGCATGAATGACTGACAGCTGCCTGTCAGGATTAAGTCTTTTTCATATTTTTGTATGTGTATTTCCCCAATGTTTTTAGGATAATCATGCACTGATTTACTTTAAAATCATCTCAGATAATTTTAATTTTCTAAAATAGGTAATATATGGCTCAAAATGTGAAAAGTAAAAAAAGAAAATACATGGAAAAGATGTCTCTTCTCCAGTCAATCATTTTCTCCCGTATTTTTCTAGTTTCTTGTGTATTCTGCTATTAAAATCAGAACAAAAAGTATGTTGTTGTTTTTTAAAATATATGTGTAACAAAAAGTTGCACCACCATTATCATTTACACTGCATGTATTTTGTCTAGTGCTGATCATTTATGTTTAACATTTGTCTGACTATCTAATACTTACACCAACTCATCAGCCCTTTGGCTTTTATTATGAAGTGCATGTTTATCTCTAGCTTCTGGCAAATATTCATGAAGTTTGTTCACTAGGAAACAGAAAAGGTCACTGGTCTGTAAAACATGAGAGAAAGAAAATGGTTAGTTAAGGTATCAGCTCTTAAAACTCTAACCTTGCAAAAAAGTCTAAAGAAAATGTTTATTGATTAGAGAAGATACTAGGGTAATCCAAATTGAAAATGTACTTTTATTTACAACTAGGATATGAGTGCCCTGCAGACAGGAACAGAAGCTAAAAGGTGATGTCAGGGGATGGCCAGTACTGAAGATCATCCAGAAGTGAGTGCGTACTCCCAAGTTGTTCTGTTTTCCAGGAAAATGAGACTGCTATTTCTTGCCTTTCCAAAGTAATTTGACTATTCCCAGGAATACAGTGAGATAATGGATAGGAAAGTTCTCATTTAAAAGTATTCACTAACATAAAAACAAATAGCCAACAGTAGCACAACATGTTAAAAATGGTGAGAATGATATTAATTTTCCTGATGATGCAGTGGAAATGCAGATCGCCATTTGTCTAACTAAACACAGATGGAGTTTAGGACTGGTGTTTTTGCATTTTCACCCAATCTCGTGAGCTGAATGAAGAATGAAAACAAGCACCAGCCCATGAAATCAGGAAGCTGGTACTAATAAAAAAGACACTGCAATCACTTCTGTTTTCTTTCCTCTGTGGCTCACTTTTTTGCCTCTGAGTTTTGAGTACTACTGACAACTTACCCTCTGTTTTGACAAGTATATGGGTGCCCTTATTTAGCTGATATGCTGTGAAAAGAGGCCGAGAATGACTGTGGAGAAAGGGACAGGGCAGGGGGACACAACAGGAGCATCAGGGGCCCTCCAAGTGCTTGGACTCATCCAGTGCCTGATAAACTCATAGAACAACAGCCTAACACTCGAGGCCTGGCCCTCTGCAAGCGGAGGGCAGACAGGTGGCGTGATGCTACACCTACCTTGGGTGGGTGGTGGCTCCCTTAGTGCAAGGCAGGAGAAGAGGCTCGCTCACCTCCCCCTTCTGTTCTTGCTGCCCTGGCTGTCATCTGCCCCTTGCAGCGCTGCCCTGTGCCACAGCACCCTGCCGTGAGCCAGGTGAGTAAGGACTGAAACCTCCGTGAGCTGAACTAACCAAACCTTTCCTTCCTTCATTTTGGGCATCAGGTATTTTGTCTCAGCAACAAGAGAAAAGTAACCAAGATGGTTATACAGCAGTGTGAATGTGCTGATGTCGCTGAAATATAGGGCGAAAAGTGTGTCAGTGGTAAATTACATGGGATGTATATTTTACTGAGCTTTTTAAGAACTCAAGAAAAATAACCTTGTAGAGAAAAATAAAAGGCTGAGAACATGAATACAGAACTCTTTCATTTATCTAGTCAATGAACATTAAGTTAATTATTACTAGCTATGTAGCAGATTCTGTGTTAGGTAATAAAATAGTATCTTAAGAAAAATAAAAAAGGTGTCTATACTCCTAAAACTTAGCTTACTCAACTTATGAGGTAATGTTTTCATAATTTAAATGCTACTTACAATAAAAGAATAAAGATGATTTAAAGAAAAACCTATTGCCCCCCAGTGAAGTTGATTTTAAAAGGCTGCTGAGGGAGCTTCACGTTCAGGAAGCCCAGCACAAGGTTGTAAAAACATGGCTTTATTTTAAGGCTACAAGAGATAATAACTTAGATATAAAACTCCTAGAAAAAGCTGAGAAAGTCGAATTTTATTAGTCATGTATATAAACTTTCTGTAATGAACATGAGGATGGATTTTGTTTGTGGGTTAGAGAAAATATACAGCTATAAAGTCTTGCTGACCTGTCATGGAGACAGCCATGAGTAGTCCGCTAAAATATGGAAAGACTCTAGCTAAGAATACTATTTATTGGCCTTTGACCTTCTCATTCGTGCTAGCTTCTCATTTTTTGACAAACAAATCTGAAGATTTCTATTTTCTTCCACCTAAGGACATTACGTTAAAGAATGGGTGCAGAATTTTCAATGAATATGAAACAAATTTGAATTTTATCCCTAGACTTCCACTCAGATTAACTTTTCACCGGAGAAAGGGTGACGTTCAATAAGAACAGCCTCTGGAATATAGTTTAGGTATGCCCTGGATTGGGCCTCAGGGAGAACATAAAGATAAGTAAAGACACGTGCCTGTCCAGAAGAAGCTTATGGTATGATGTGGTAAATAAGAAGGCTGTACTAGTAACTCTAATAAGTGAGAAAATATCTGTGCTAACTTTTGAGAGTAGGAGCGACATCTTATACATGCATTTCTGATTCCTATCACCATGCCTCACCCAGATTAGGAAAGTAAATGTTGATTGGATTGCTAAAGAGAAACTGCTGTGAAAGATGCCATAGAACTGCACTGCCCTATAAATTAAATTATTCAACTAAATTAGATTAAAATTAAAATGTCTCTTCCTTAGTCTTTAGCCACATTCAAGTGCTTAATAGCCACATACAAATAATATCTACCTATTGAACACAGAAGATGATAAAATAGCAAAGTTCTGTGAACAGAACTTTCAGTGAGGATCAAAAACAGAAAAGCACCAATGTTCCTCAGTAAGGATAACAAGAAAGGCAGAAAAAAGTGGCATTTGAATGGAAGAATGGATCATATTTTTACAAAAGAATATGGAAGACACATTCTGGAAAAGCAAACAACAGGAAGTCCCGTTCAATCTAGCTATTCCTCTCTTGGGTATTTTCCCAGAAAAATTGAAAATGTCATGCCGTGCTATGTATGTGCACCCATTTATAGCAACACAATTTGTAATAGCTAAATCTTAGAAACAACCCAAATGTCCATCAACTAAACAATGACTAAAAAAGATGTGGTATTTTTAGGCAATGGAGTATTACTCAGCTATAAAGAAGGATAAACTTGAGGCTTTTATAGGTAAGTGGATGCAACTTGAGGCCATACTCATAAGTGAAATAAATCAGACTCACATGTATAAATATTGTATTGTCTACCTAGTGTAAAAAATTGACAGAGTAAATAAGATCCAAAATGTACAATATCACAACTTCCGGGAGAACATGGCGGACAGATAACAGCAACTACCGGAGGCTCTCTGAAAAACTAGGCTCAGAAGCCAGGTATGGTGCGGACTAAAGAGACATAAGCAGGTGAAGTGATGCTCTGCTGACTCAGGAACGAACTCGGCTGAGAGAAACCAACTTGGAATGCAGTCCTGGAGCTAAAACAGGAACAGAAAAGTCTCGCTGCTGAGGCTGGACCCCGCGCCATTGGAAGCCGCGATTTGGGTTTCCCGCCGCGCGGTGGCTGGCTGCCTCTACATCGGCTCGGCAAGGAGAGACGCGCGGAAACTCTGAGAACGGCAATCTGTGAACGGAGTTGAAAACAGGACGGGCAGGGAGGCACGTTCTGACTTGTGGCGAGGTGAGTGAGAGAAACTGACACTCCACCACAGTTTGACTCCAGCGGACTTTCTGGGCCCGGGCAGTCCTGCGGGAGCAGGGCGCGCTGGCGACTCCAGCCACACATTCCCCTCTCGGGCGGGATTGGTGAAAAGTGCCTGGCCTGCGTGACGCTGCCGGCAGACCCCGTAGGCTAGCCCAACCCAGATCCCAGAGCCTGACGGAGGCCGGGAGGGGCAGGCCCCCGCGTAGGCTGCCTGGTGCGCAGCGGTGAGTGGGAACACCTAACCGGCACAATTCGATCAGGCTGTGGCTGACAGGGAGAGAAGCTGGGCCTCTCATATAAGCTTGCATATATAAGGAGCAGAGAATATGGGAAGAGGCAGCAACAAGAAAGGCTCCTCAGCCCCCAATTCTGAGAAACAGGCAATAGCGGACACCGCACCAATACACATAAAGCACCATATAGAGAGCCTCATAGACCAATTCAGGAATGAAGTTATCAACGACCTGAAGCTAGAAGTATGCAAAATAGTTAGAGAAATGCTAAGCCCCACCCAAGAAAAAACAGATGGTGGAATGGAAGAACAGAAAAAGAGGGGAGAATTGTTTGATGGAGAAAACAGGGAAAGCATAGAATACGTGAAGCAGGTTCAAAGGGACTACCAAGAAACTAAGAAGTCTATCGAAGACTGGCATAACAGCTTGAAAGAAACTAAGGACAGACTATCTGAACTGGAGGGCAGAATTGTAATATGGGAGAATGAAATGAAAAACTTCTTAAAAATAACAAAGAAACAAACAGCAATAATACAAAGACAAGAAGATGATAAGAGGATACATAACTTAAGGATTAAGAACATAAAAGAAGAAGTAGGGACACAAACAAATGAACTACAAAAGCTACTCACAGAAATAATCCAGGAGAATTTTCCTAATTTAGCAAAAGGTAAAGATACTCAGATGTATGAGGCATACAGGACCCCAGCTACCTACAACCCAAACAGAGCAACACCCAGGCATATAATAATAAAAATTCCAGAAATTCAATACAAGAACAGAATATTAAAAGCTGTCAGAGACAAGAAACAGACCACTTACAAGGGAGCACCCATCAGAATTACAGCAGATTTCTCTGCACAAACCATCAAATCACGAAGAGCGTGGGGGGAAATAATTCAAGCTTTGAAAGATAATAATCTCCAGCCAAGATTGAGATATCCTGCACAACTGTCCCTGGAAATTGATGGAAAAACAAGGTGCTTCCAGGATAAAGAGGAACTGGGGGAATTTGCAACCACCAATTCAACTCTACAGAGAGTATTGCAGGATATTCTAAAAAAAGAAAAATACAAAGAATCCAGAAATAGTGGAGGCCACAACGAATGGAGCAGAGAACAAAGTGAAGAAGACAAACTGACAGCTACTGACAGAATAAGAGCTCAACAGAAATGAAGCAGAGAAGATTGGATGATAGGAACAGCTATTTTGGAGAAAATGACATCTTAATAGGTAATACTGATTTAGTATCATCTTGTTTTGAAGTCTCATCTAGCTTTTGTCCTTCTGTCTCCAATGGTCTAAATAGGTTGTATCTTATGGATTTTATTATGTACGATAGTATAAGCAAAAACCTTTTAAAGACAAGGAGATTATACAGAAACCATTGTTCATTTTCTGTTAGTCGATTCTAAATACTCTGTAATGCTGTCATTCTCTTAAATGGTTTTACATTGTTTTGATATACTTAATGCTACAGTATACGAAGTTGTACTCAAGGATTTCAAGGAAAGAGACAATATGGTAACTACTTTTAGGTCAGGATTATCTGGTGGTGAAACACTATTCTGCTTAAATGGTTATGTTTTGATCTGTGCTGTTTCGTTGTTATGCCCTCTTTTATCTCAATCTCTACTCCATTATTTACTTTTTTAATACTTTTTTAAAATTTTTATTCTTTTAATTAAAGGAAAAAAAATAACAGGATATATTATAGTAACCCACTTTCACTTTCCATTACCTCGATTTAAAGCCCTGTATTACTCTCACCATCTGGTTTTTAACTGATGTTCCCCTATTCTGTTTTGCTGGATAGTATCAGGTTCGAAAATTTAGGCATCAGCTGTGAAGATAATGAGATTCATTATAACGCCCATTCTCGTTGACTTTTATCTACTTTTGAAGACCTACAGTGTCTCCAATGGTTTGGTTTTGTAGGTTTTGTTCTTTACTGTTTTGTTCAATTGTATTATAACTAATGGTATAGGCAATTCTATTAGAGATAGCGGGAGGCATTATGGTAACCATTGTTGATCACCTTGTATTATGTTTTCACATTATCTATTATGTCCACCCTTTTGACTTGACCGATTCTGTTCTGTTATGTCACATTTGGTTTTACTCTCTTGCAAAAAAGTAATAAGAACCGTTGAGAGCAATGAAACCCAAAATGTGTAATAGTCATTGTACAAAAGAGAGGAAAAGAAAGTGCTGTAAACTATATAACTGCATGTATATTTAAGTGTATAAGATAGAATATGATATCAGAATATGATATGATATTATTGGATCATTGAACAGAACTGTTTGCAGTATCATTGATGGAATGTCCACTCTACAAGCTTTAATTTTGTGACTTGAACAAGTATTTCTAAGATGACAATATGTAATCCATTAACTAGTAATTTCCTATTGTTCACTTTTTTTTCTGCAAATCTGTATAACTTGTACCCTTTCTCAGCTTTTTTTTTCTTTTCTCCTTAAATAAAATTAAAAAAAAAAAAGAAATAAAAAAAGATATATCCTACAAAAAAAAAATGTACAATATATATTGTGAAAGTGAAAGGGAAAGAAATTGCTCAAAAGGAAAGAACTACTGGGATAGGGGAAAGGAAAAAAGAAAGAAGGAAAAAGATATATAAATATAAGATAACTAGTCTCTGTTAGTTCATCAAAAAGAACAGTTTGTGCTTTCATTGTTCGATTCTTTGATTATGTTTTCATGCTTATATCTTGTAAAATGAACAACTACTTTGAAAATAACAATATGCAATATATTAACCAGTGTTAACCTCCTTTTCTTTTATTTTTAAAATTCTGTGTCATGGTTTTTATTTTTTTGTTGTTAAAAAAAAAGAGTGAAAATGCTTAAAATAACCTCCAGATCAACACTCTGTTGTTCAACATCCATACTTTACTTCCTATCCAACCTAAACATCTACCTTAAACTCAATCCCTAATTGTGTTCATTTTCTCTAAATGGACTTCTCTCTAGCTCTGTCTTACGTCCTTTTCTGGTCTTTTCCCAGATTCTGTCTTTACTCTTGACAATCTCTAAGACCTCACTCCATGTCCCAGAACTCACATTCCATACAGGATCTGTTCCCACACCCTAAAAAAGCAGATCATCCTGGTGCCAAGTGTTTATGCAGACATCTGAGTGTAATTGCACCTACATACTGAAATGCCTACGTACTTCACTTTGGATACTTTATATAGAGCTCACTCTCAATCTCAGGTGCTGTGCCTTCTCCATGAACATCTCTAGCTGGATTAGTTCTATCAGATGATGGTGTCTTGATGATTAACCTTCCTTGCAAAATTAAATGTCATGCCCCAATTTAGAATCTATAGCAGAAGCTATTAGTGAGTAGACTTAAATGCTAAAATGTCTGTACTTAATTTAATAACCACAAAAGTTTTTGATCAAGTAGTCCCATACAATTAGGGTTTTGATTAAATTGATACCAACCATGTAGGGGGTGGGTAGGAGAAGTTAGGTGGAAAATAATCCCAATTTCTTTAGCTTTTATGCATGAATTCCATTTCCATTTTCAAAATCAATTTCATTATCCCCATATTTCCCATAATGGTTTGAAGATCTAGAGTCAAAACATGGATGGTATATTCCTAACAAGATCTATCCAGTACTGCTCAGTTTAGATTATTACCACATCATTTTTACCTGAATCTCAATGTTCTTAGATATCTGACATGATAGTCTCTATAGCTATTCTGTCCTCTAATTAGGCTGACTGGCCATTAGATTATCCTTGCTTCCCCATGACCTTGGAACTTCTTCAGTCCCATGCAAACTGTAACGGCTAATTATCCTAGTCCAGGCAAACCAAGATGGCTGATCATCCTAAAATGTAACCTAGAATCTAAGACAGGTCTAAGACTGTCGAATGGTTGGGAGATTGTGCACTTCACAGCTGCTCCATTTTCTTGAACAGCTACACACAAGACCATTGGCAGAAGTAGGATGCAACATATGGCCCCGTAGCAAGGGCTCACCTCTTCCTCTTGGCCTCACTAGCACCCCAGCGTTACTCATCTAGGCTCCTTAATCCCTTCACTGGGGACCAAAATGAAGTGTCTGTAACTTACCAAGTGAGAGTTAGGTTGCACCCTAATTCCACATTTTTTAAAATGTCACTCTTACATTCATAAATATTTTAATGATATTTTTTCTACAGGTGAATGTACACAGTAAAAGTCCTTGAAGTCTCCTTTCCCGTCTTACACCTCACATGTGACCCTGCTAATCCAGCCTACTGTGTGCTGTACGGCCTCTCTCTTCCTGCACCCGCTCCCCACCCGCTGCATACTATTGATCATCTAACTCTTCAAGTATTAAGACATGACTGCATTAAATTTTATCCACATTTTAAAATACAGCATCAGAACACGAGACGGTTTCCATTTATATGTTATTTTACACTTAACTGTGATAACCAGGTGAAATGGATTTTAAAGGTTAAAAATTAAACACCTACTTTCCAGAAGAGTCTTTTCAGAATAAAATTTTTCTGTGCTGTTACTTTAAGTTCTGTAACTAAACAAAATATCTTCCTCAATGTATTGTCTTTATGAAAAAGTTCAGATTTGAGCTGACTGAAGTGCTTAACTTTCTCCTCAGATCTGCAGAAACAAATAAACAATTGTTCCATGTGAAAAATAAGAGAGATCAGTTTGGGAATATCAATGACTTGGCTATAAAATTTTATTACCAATGAAACCTTAAGATAGTTTTGTAGTTCCAGCGTTAGTGTGTCATCTTCCAAATTTTCATTTGAGCCACATTCTTTAGTGAAGCTGTGCTCTCACCAGGAATGTCCTCATGGTCCCCAGTAAACTTCCGGGCCTCTTTCGAGCCTTGCCTATATCATTTACCATAATCCACACACCATGCATAGGATTATTTGCTTAAATTTTTTTCTTTCAGTCAACTTGCTTGGCTTTTGCTTAAAGATGTTTATAAAGAAAACTTTGTAAATGGAAAAGCAGTATCACTTGGCATAAACAGTAGGGAAGTGTTTTAAAAAACAGCTTGAATGCTACACAGATCCTAAGTGAGATCAGAGTTGGAGCCTTGCTCTGTCTTTGCACAAAAGCTGGGTGAACTTGTATTACAGAACTGCCCTTGTTGTCCCTTCAGGGAGTCAAAAGGTGCTACCTGACCAGCTGGCAAAAGGAATCACTTTTCTATCTTGGAACTGGAAGTTATTTCAGGCCGTGTCAGAGTGCCGTGCCATCACTGAATAACATGCACCCCACACTTTGGTAAAAGCAAGCTGAGCTGCAAAGATGGCACTTACCCTTATTCCAACTTCCCTGGTTTTATCAATGAATATAGCCCCTCTCACTGCAGAGCCTTAACACTTCTGATATCATGCTAATCCTATTTCATCCCACTGTCATTTGTGTTAGAATCCTGGCCTCTCGGCTGATTTTCAGCAATTTGAAAAAATTTGTTGTTAAGCTGAATATTGCTTGTGTCGCACACTGGAATCATTAACAATTTGTGCTTAACTGGGCACTGACTATGCAGAGGGTTCTGGCCTGGGTTCTATTTACAAACTAGTTCACCCAACTAACTGCCACTGAGGGGCTTGAGCTGGGAATTACCATGGCATTTTATAGGGATTAGGTAACCTGTCCAAAGTCAGAAAACTAGGCTAAGAATATGTGGGTGCAAACTAATGACTGGAGGGGTAGTTCATATTCTGCACAGGTTGATGGACTCTTTGCATTTCTTATGTGAAATGAGAAAACAATTTTAACCTTCCTCCAGAAACCTGTGATATCAGCCACTTACCCCCTTATAAGATGTTCTCCCTATCCAGTTAAAGAACCTCTCTTATAACCCCTAAATTAAGACCTCCTGGAAAGATCGTCTCTTTTATAATGGGAACGTGAAAGAGAAGATGGTCATTACAAATTCAGCAATAGCAATGCTATAATGATTATAAGCATGAGGGCAAAGTCAGAATCCTAGATCTGCCTCTACCCAGCTAGATAATTATTACCACAGGCGAGTTACCCTCCCTATGCTTCAAATGCCTTAGACAATAGAGATGATAAAAATATCCACTATGCTGTGATACTTTTAACATGTATCCTTAACACACATTCTAAATAAAAACAAGAATAAATTTGAGATCCTGCTTCACTATAAATTTATTTCTAATCACTACCTTATTTTGCTTTTGAAAAATTATTAATCCCTCTACTCTCTGAGAACTCTCAAAACAACAAAATAAATGAATATAGAAAAAGAAAAGGCTTGGGTAAAAATACATCAGCAGAATTCTTTTAAAATCAATTTTTTAGCTGGGCATGGTAGCTCATGCCTGTAATCCCAGCACTCAGGAGGCTGAGGCAGGAGGATCGTTGCAAGTTCTAGACCAGCCTGGGCTACAAAGTGAGCTCAAGGGCAGCCTGAACTATGTACTGAGACTCTGGAAAGAAAGGAAGAAAGAGAGAAAGAAAGAAAGAAAGAAAGAAAGAAAGAAAGAGAGAGAGAGAGAGAGAGAGAGAGAGAGAGAGAGAGAGAGAAAGAAAGAAAGAAAGAAAAATAGAAAGAAATTTTTTTAACTTTTCCCCATTCAGAGTTGGCAATGTGCTATGATACATAACTTTTTAATCCTTTGCCTCTTATGAAAATAGCTGTCATGCAAAATTAATTTCCTTTAATGACCAAATATTTTCCACATGAAAAAGGACACTAGTCTCTTCATATTAAAACTTCATTCATGTATAAACTGAGGTCTCATGTGTATCATAAATTCAAATTAGATTAGACAGTATATATTACCACAGGCAAGTAATCAAGATCACAGTTTGTTTGAACAGAAAGTATTTTTTTAGACAGATGGCAAAATATTTTTTTTCAGTACTAGGAAATGAACTCAGGACTTTGCACTGAGTTACAACGCCAGATTTTTTTTACTTTTTATTTTGAGACAGGGTTTTTCTAAATCACTAAGGTGACCAGGTTATGCTCAAACTTGTGATTCTTTAATCTCAGCCTCCTGAATGCTAGGATTACAAGTATGTCCCATGTTTTCTAATTATAGAAATTTTCTGAATAAAATTATATAAGCAATTCCCACATGCCCATAACCTAGTTACAATAATTTTCAACATTTAACCAATTTTGCTTTATCTATTCCTTTACACACATACACACACTCTCTCATACATGCAAACATGTTATTTCAAAATTAGAATAAATAAACATGAAGTTTACTGTTGTACTCATTTTATATGTACAATTCAGTGAGATTAAGGGTATTACCGTGTGGTACAACTATCATCACTGCCAATTTCCTGAAGTTTTTTGTCTTCCCAAACAGAGATTTTGTATCCATTGAACAGCAATTCTCTATTCCTCATTACTCCTACCCATTAGTAATCTCAACTCTATTTTCTGTCTCTATAAATTTCCCTTTTCTAGATGCCTCCATAAGTGGAATCATGTGACATTTGCTCTTTTGTGTCTGGGTTATTTCACTTGACACATCTTTGAAGTTCATTCATGTTTAAACATGTGTCAGAATTACTTTCCTTTTCACTGCTAATATGTCCAGACTTCTAAGTCAGATTCAGGTTTAACAGCTGTAATACAAATACTTCAGAGGTGGTGCTGTGTATTTTATGTAACATCAAATAATGAGGCGTACAAATTGTGGTTGTCTCACTTAAGTGATGCTAAGACTAACTGAAAGATTTAGTTTTTGCAATATGATCCGTCCATTTCAAAGTCGTTTCACTTTTCTGTCTAATGGTTTCACTCACACAGGATTCTTGCACAAATCTTTCATTTCATTAAAAGTTGCGAAAGTGTTGATTTTCTAATTCTATTAGAACTTTCACATTCATTAGATGGAATTCTATAAAAGGGAATTAGCTCTTATCAACTAAGGCTAATTGGTTATCCTGAAGTGGTTATAGCTGGTGTAGAAAAGGCAGGATAATCCTTCCCATTTGTTTCCTGATTTCCAGAGGAAGGGATTGGTGCCCTATTTTCTTATAATATTCATTGTGTTTTATTTTCTTGGTGGAGGAACAGAGTGAATCTTCTCTCTACAATCAATCATTGGACACTTCTGAGTTTTTCTATTTCACTGTGTTTCAACCTCTCCATTCCTCATTGTTTCTAATGCTCAATTTATTCCACCTTTGGCTATCGGGAGCCCCTTCATGTGGGCACCTAATTCCCTTAGTTAGGGCCCCAATGTTCTTGCTTTCTTCTATCACCTGTTTTGGACTCATTTTGTATGTTCCTATCCCAGATCTACTAACACGCATTCTAATGAACTTTGGCTCCTTTGGGTAAGGAATGACTATGTCCAGCCTCTATCTTATATCATTTATTTATTCATTCTATAAAGAATTATTACAGCCTACTATATGATCAAGGTAGAGACCCTGCCTTCAGAAGCATACTGCATAATAGGCAATCATAACCAAATAAGCAATCATTACAGCACTGGTAAGTGCTACAAGATGTGTAAGCAAAAGATGCTATCGAGAAGTCTGTCCTAATTTAGTTTTGAGGGGTTTAAAAAGGAGTTTTAAAGAAAATTAAGATTTAATGGACTGAAATTATTTCATAAGAAGGAAAAAAAAGTGAGGTTCTAGAAAATGGGCCATCATGTTAGGGCCCAGAAAAAAAGGGAAATTAAGAAAACTGTGGGTAGTTCATTTTGAGTAGGCATGCAAGATAGGAGCAGGTGGGGATGCACAAGAATAGAGGACGGAAAAATAAAAGTAGCATCTGTGTACTCTATTAGACACTTATACTTTAGCACTTTTATCCAAGATCAATGGGGAGCCATTCAGAGGCTTTTAGGGAATCAGATCTGTGCTTTGGGAAGATTTCTCTGTGTAACGAAAATGGGCTAGAGTGGAGCAAGAGCGAAGGCTGAGTGGCCAGGTAGGTAAGAACCATTAAGAGAGGAGAACAAAGGTAACTGGACTTGAGCAAGAACAGTGGAAAGTGTCTAGACATAGTAACAAGGCATTAAAAAAATCACATGGTGATTGGCTGGATATGGGTGGTGGTGAAGGAGAGAGAGGAGGGAAGGGTAACATCTAGGACTCCATCTTAGGGTACCTGAAGATAATGGCCTCACTCCCTGTGTTAGGAAACACAGAGGAAAGTAGATTCCAAAAAAAAGGTGTCGCGCTCTCTTGTGATGATGCTAACTTTACATTCCTGTGATACATGCAAGAGGTGCTGTCCAGCGAACACTTATATTTGCAGGCCTAAACCTCAGGCCTGAGAGTTGAGGTAGAAGGCCAATTGTGACATCAACCACATATATAACAACATTGTCAGGAACATAAAGAGGAGAGAAAAATCCCCCATGAAACTCTATCACTTCATCACTCCTTACCTATATGGCTTCTGACTTCCAATAACAGGACTGAGCTCAGTAGCATATTGGGGATCCTGTAAAAGAGTAGCTTTCTGAATGGAAAAAAAGGGGGAATTATTAGAATTTCTGTTTACTGAAAATCAATTAACCCTATTTCTAGCCATTTTGTCTGTGTATTTTTTTTTTTTTTTTTTTTTTTTTTTTGTCTTTTTCGTTTTTATCGGTACCGGGGATCGAACTCACTACTGCCTGCTTGCAAGGCAGGCGCTTATGCCGCTGAGCTAAATCCCCAGCCCCTGTGTGTGTATTTTTAATACCATCTATGGTACAATATTTGCTTATATGACTAATTCCAGTATTTGATAACACCACAGGGAATGTTTAGTAATCTAATTTTCAAAAAGTTTTAAATATAACTTTTTTATTTTTTAACTTGTTTTAAAATAATTTATCAAATTCTAACAGGACATAATTGCCAAAGTAAAAGATAAAATTTTGTTTCTCTTCACTCATTACTATTCAAAGTAACTGTTACTAGTCTGACATATCCTTTCAGGCATTAGAAAACACATTAATTATAATATATACACTTACAGTACTTATGTATTATGACATATTTGTAAGAGATATAATCCTAGCTAAATTATATTATGTATATTAATCTAGAACTTGATTGGTGAGCAGTTTTGTGTATCTATATACACAGATTTACTGCAATTTTTAAAGTGATTAGCTAATATTCCACACCATAGCTATACAATACCTTTGTTAATTTCTCCCCTACTAATAAGGTTAATTTTTTCTTAAACATTTAATGTTGACATTTCCCTTTTATTTTCACCCCTCAAATCAGACAAGTAGCATTCAGGACTCTGTGTAACTTTTTATTTATGTTGAGATCTATTAGGTCAGAAGAGGTTTCTGAAACGTTGCGGATTTGTAATTCAAAACAAACTTCCCCTGTCTTATTCTTAATGTCAAAGCAGGAAGCGGGCAGTTGGTAATGAGTAAATGTGTGCTTTTATTCTTACTACTTTTATCATGGCTCTACATTTTTTAAAAACTGCCCTTTTCCCCTTTCCAAATGTTTATACTTGCCTAAATCTATAACTTTAATTTGGAATATGCCTTAGTAACTTATCTTTCCAGAAGCTACCTTTATAGTATGTAAAATATAATAAATAACCACATTTCATCTTCATATAATTTGAGATGGCAAACTGCCAAATTATTGTTGGTTACACAGATAAAATGTGTTAATGAAGGAAACTCAGCTCTTTAAAAAGCCCTGTGTCACCCTAGCCGAGTGCAAACTGCCACCTGCTAAGACTCGCCTTGCCTGCCTCTACAAAAGTCCAGCTTCTTTATTTCTACAAGCTTTTCTTCCCTAACGAGCATTTCTCCCCACTACAATAGCCTGAATCAAGTCACCTCTTCAGTGGATCATTTCGTTCATAATATTACTAAGTCATAAGACAAAATTTCCCAAATGCAGGGGTGCAGGGGAGGCATTGTACCTTTAAAAGAAATGAGCCTCAGGTTAAGGAGAGGACACTTACTATAACATAATTGTTCCACGAACTTCTTAAGTGCAGAAATAGAGATGAGGTTGTGGAAACGGCGTACAAGTGAAGTTCTGACTCATTTTTCTCTTGATTTAAATCACTCTGCCAAGGAGAATCTGGGAGAGAATTTCCTAAGTGAAACTCATTTGTGTTCCCTTCCCACTTGAAAGAGATTTCAGTTGAAGAGTCTTCAGGGAGATCTGGAAGTCCCTGGGGTTCTTTTGTGTTTGTCATGCAAGATGGTGAGCTGACAGCCCTGCCAGCAGCTGGTGAGGGTGGACAGCTCCTTCTGGGGGGCGCAGGTAAGGGCCGAAAGGCACTTTGGCCCAGAAGGCACAGCTTGTTGATGTCTGAAGGAGGACTGGGAGTTGAGTCCGTGAAGGCTCTGTAGCTCTCTTGGTTGTCCCTGTTGGTAGAATTTAGTGTCAAACATGGCAACAAGACTTTTACAGTAAGGAACAAACAGCACCTGGTGACCAACTGCAGCAGTCTAAGACTGAAAGCCACTGTTTCCACCTAAATCAAATGCTTGTTAAGAGGTCACTCCAGTAATCCCAGCACTCTGGAGGCAAGAGGATCAAATTGGAGCCCAGCATGCGCAACTTAGTGACTTAGTGAAATCTTGTCATAAAAAGTGAGATCTTGACATAAAAAGGGGACAAGATATGTAGCTCAATGGGAAGAGTTTGGATTAAATTCTCAATATTGAAAAAAAGGGGGAGAAATAGGGAGGGGCAAAAAGGAGTGATTTAACCTCACTTGTTGTTCCTCATCAATTAGATAATTGGGAGAAATAGGGCATACAATCCTTTAGTCTGCTTTTCTGCTTTCAAAATAAAACTACTAATGTTATACAGGAAACGCTTTTTACATTGACAGTAATGTGTCTGTCCTTCCTGGAGCCCCAATATTTTCACTGAAAGGACTACTTTATTTTAGTTTTTCACCTTATTAATTCTTTGCATTAATAAGAGGTCCTATAAGGAAAAATAATCAAACATGAAGAAGAAGAGAGATTCTTTAGATGGTGTTTTCTTTAATTCACACACTTCCAAATTTCCTAGTATCCCAATAGCACTTCTGCGTCAGTGCCAGGTCCCATCCTTTCACCTCCTGCATTCTTGCCACCTCACCAAAAACTAAATCTCCTCCAAGGCACAGGAAGCAGACTGGAGATGCTAAGAATTTAGAGTACAATGAGATCTAAATTTCAGTCCTGGCTCTGCCGCTCTGTGTTATGCAACTTTTGCTAACCAAGGCTTACAAAAGGCCCTTGTTTTGCCCTAACATCCCATACCAGGCCCTAGCAGGCCAGCCACCAGAATGCAGTCACTTTGTTCAGTTCCATGCGGTCAGGCTCAAATAGACTCAGCTTCCACAGGAAGTTTCCTCTGCTTTAACTTTATGAGGAAAGTAACTTCACAAAGACTAGTCTGTTTTTTGTTCTGTGTTCCTGTTTTCATTAGCCCTTTTATGCTTATGAAGCAATCTTCTACACTCAGCCTATCAGAATATTCATTCTGCTTTATAAAATGAAGTACTGGCTCATCCTATGACCAGAAATAAAAGCCAATTTGATCTTAAAATTTGTGGTAATTTTCTCTTTTTACACCTTAGTTGGTCTAAGCCTTGATTTCCTAATTGCCTGTATGGTGTTATTGACTGCATCAAGTTCCAATCTCCACTCCTTCCCTCCAATGCATGTGCACACATTTGCACACACACACACACACACACACACACACACACACACAGTAGTGGTCACCTCAGATCTCTCATCATTGTCCTGTCCCCCTGTAGGCATGATCCCTTGCCAAACTCTCAAGCTTCAGGGTACACACACTGGCTCTGTGACCCTAGAATAAGGTCTAGAAAGAAAAGCTGAGCTACCCTACTCTTCCTGCCCTGTGGAGTGGCACACAGAATGACCAGATTTTAATGATACAACTGCACAAACTACTGTAGATAATGCACAACACCTAAGTGCTGTTACAGTGAGCATCCTACATTATCCTACTTTCTTCACTATGAGGAAAGAGAAACAGGATTAGAAGTGATGGATGGAAACTAAGGTGTGATGGCTGATGGCCAAGGGGAAAAACATTCCTCTTGAGGCAAACAACAGTTGCACCAACCTCACTCATTGCACTATTTGAGGTAAAGACAGAAAGCTCACCATTCCTCTTTGCTTAAGACAAAAATGGAGGGCTCTGAGGTGGTGTGAATTGATGCTCCCCAGATACCTGTCCTAAAGTAACTGAGACCCTCATTTACAAGCAGAGAGACACTCAAAGGGAGGCGAAAGCACTGCCGAGCACAAAACAGGACTGAGTGAGAATCACACATGCATACTTGGCAGTTGCTTCATGCACATGCATTTTGTGATTATTACACTCCTCAAACACACACTGACGCTTCATAGAAAATGTCCATGATCTCACCACCCCCACCACAGGGCTGTTCTGTCTGTGCAGCAGCTTCCTTTGCTGCTCTTCCTGGGCCCTTCTGTCTCTGGGGCAGCCTGCAGCAAGATCCTGTACGATTCTAATAAACTCTTTTCTCTTCACTAATTCCCGCTGGGCACATCTGATTTCCAGAGAACTCACAAGGCTGCTGACAACAGGATTCTAGTATCTTATAACAGTCCTATTTAAGGGTCTCAGACTGTAAGATGCTCACGCTAGGATTTTCAAATAAATGAATGCTGGGCTGGGGATACAGCTCAGGAGCACAGCGCTTGCTTGGAAGTGTGAGGTCTTGAGTTCAATTCCCAGTACCAATAAAAATAATAAAATAAATACAATCAAATAAATAAATGCTATAAATTGAAAACTTGTAAAGCTCTCCCCAAATGTGTATGTTCCAAATTTAAGCTCCAGGGCGATGATATAAGGAGATAGATCATTTAGGGAGTGATAATATCATAAGGATAGAATCATCACAGTTGGGATCACACCTCAGAGACCTCTAGAAGCTTCTTCTAGAAGGATACAGTAAGAAGTCAGCTGCCTACGATCCAGAAGGGCCACTCACTGTGTTGACACCTGGAGACTTCCAGCCTCAAGAACTGTGAGAAACACATTTCTTATGTTAGAAACCAGCCACCCAGCCTAGGATAGTTGTTACAGCAGCCCAAACTGTCTAAGACAACTTTTGTGGGAGAGAAGAAAGAATATGTCTGGCTTAAAAATGAAAGGAATGATACATAGTCCATACTTCACTAAAGAAATACACTTTTTCTTTTGTTTTCTCTTCTCCCCAGCTCCACTGAGGCTATCAAACCCAGAACCTCACACATGCTATCAGTCAGCCACATCCCCCGCTCTAATGATACAATTCTTAGCTTTGACAAAATTTATAATCTGCTTCTTTGACACTTATGACCAACAAAATGAGAATTATCATGACAATTCTAAAAAGAGAAAATTTGAAAAAAAAATGCTGTTGCATATCTGAATATTCTGAACCTTATTTTCAATACATATTTATATAACTTTTTATTTAAAAAAAGTAACTAGGGCCGAGGATATAGCTCAGTGGCACAGTGCCTGCCTGGCAAGCATGAGGTTGTGGGTTCAATCCCTGGTTACAAAATAAAATAAAATAATAACTAATCTGACACATTTTACTACTTCATGTAGAGCTATAATTAAGTCAGAATTTTATAAATTAAATATTATAGCCTAGTATTCAGTATTTTAAGATACTTTGGCTTTATTTCTAATAAATTTAATTTATTCTAATTTAAATTTGGCTATCGTACTTAATCTTTTTAAGGTTTTCCTGCCACATTCCAGCCTTTTAGCCCAAATATATATAAATGTTTAGGAATCACTTAAATTCTATAAAGCAGATTCCATAAAGGAATTCCTGAAAAATCCAACTTGTTAGACTCAATAAACCTGCATGGACTAATATTTTTTTAATCTCCAGCTAAAGTTGAAAATTACTTATTTAAAAGTTAGGTAGCAACCATTTTAATAATATATATGGCATTTATGAAGTTTTCACCAAACAAGTTTTCTTAGGCAATATTAGAGATACTGTAAGTACTCAATACAGAACTTTGAGCTCCAGAGTAGGATTTAAAGCAATTATCAAAAGCATACTCTCCAGCTGCGTGTGATGGTAGATATCTGTAATACTAGCATTTGGTATTACAGGCAGGAGGACCATCATTTGAGGCCACCCTGAACTATAACACAACAAAACAAAACAACAAAAAAGTATACTCTCATGTAAGCAAACACCATCTGACTCTCTGGAAAATTCTTGACATGAATGTAGTGACAGCATTCTACCTAACACCCTTGAACTTAAACTAGATGATTACTCATCTTCTGAATTTTTGTACACAGCTTAATGGTTACCTTAATGTTATAGAAATGTGAAATGTATAAAAGAAAGAAAATACCAGTCCTTGTCCAAAATGTAAATACTGTAATAATTAGAATAGAGAAAAACCAAAAGATAAAGGCTTGGTTGTCAAAGAAGAAAGGAAGAAATGTCAACTTTATGTATTGTTCATATTATCATTTATTTCATTGATTTTTTGCCTTTATCAATTGTATTTTTTTCTTTCTTGCATTTTTAAGTGTTCTCAGTAGGATTTACTTACAATGAATCCTTGAGAAAGAGTTTATATTGCTGTTACTGCATCACATGAAGTCATATGTCACACATCATATCTTCATCAAATTTAAAGAATGTATTTGAGATAGCCAACCTTAATATTAGACAACACGATGTATGTAATCTATGTAAAACAGGATTTCAGCTTATAGTTATTGAACTTGTTCGCATGGCCATCTCTAGTAAGGATATCTAGGAAGCTGAAGACTGCACATTACCATTCCAAACAATTCCATTAGTAAAGAATGGGATAACTTATTTGTTAATTTTTCTTCCCTGCACCCCAACCCCAAGTTTTAGGGACTTCTTAAGTAAGTCACAATATGGTTTCTCTACCACCACCAAAAACAAACAAACAAACAAACAAATAAAAAACATGTTGGCAAAGTGCCTACTTGTATTTTCTTTTGTAAAACACATATGAATAAATGGAAGTATTTACTGATAAAGAGCTACCCAAAGAGGAAAAAACCTAAATACAGTACTAATCTCATTATCAGAGAGCACTAGTCCGTGTTCTATGCCTTAGTGTTTAAAGGCATGTTGCTCATTATTATCCTGAAAAGTAATCACACTTAGGTAAGTCTAATGTCCCAAAATAACAGCATCCTTCTTATGACCTACAGCTCCTCATAATTAGGCCTAAAACTTTGCACCTAAGAGGTATTTCAAAGCTCTGTACATGTGAGCATCCTGTAGTCTTCTAATTAGTATTTTCTATCCCAGCCTGCCTTTTGTTTAGACTTCTGATTCAGATGTTTAATTACAGAGATG